CGTGGGGGCGGGATGTCCAGGGTGAGGGGTGGAACTTCCTGGCTGAGGGGGAGCTCCCTCCACGTGGGGGCGGGATGTCCAGGGTGAGGGGTGGAGCTTCTGGAGAAGGCGGGGCTTCCCAGGAGGGGCTAGGGCTGCCTGTGAGAGGTGGGACTTCCTGGGGGGGGGACTTCCTTTTGGGGAGGTGGGGCCTCCAGGTGGGGGTGGGGCTTGGAGAGACCTCCAGGGGAAAGTGGGACCAGGGTGAGGGAAGAAGACCAGGGGGTGGGGGGGCATCCAAATGGGGGACGGCTTTGTGGATGGAGTCTGGAGGGGGTCGGCATGGGAGGGGCCTGCAGTTCAGGGACCAGCACAGGACTCAAGCCCCAGGTGGGCAATCTGGCAGGGTGTGAGGGGAAGGGTAACTTGCACTTTATCTGTCCTGGGTGGAGGAGGGTGTGGAAGGTTCTGGACTGAGTCCTGGCTCTTCACCTTAGGAAGGTGGTGGGGAAGGAAGGGGAGGGGCAAGCCTGCAGCATCTGTGGATTGTTGGGGAGAGGAGAAAGAAACGGGGGTGGCCAGGCTGGGGGGGGAAGGGGTCTGTCCCTTTGCACACACAGGGCTGGGACTCCAGTGCAGGACGGGCCTCCACTCTCCTACCCAGCCATGTGGGGCACACCTGAACCGGCCTGAGGGTGGGCAGATGAGAGATGCCACCTCAGGGTAAGGGAGACACGGCCATCAGCTGAGAGACACAGGGACCAGCATCTTCAGAGGGACAGGAACATCTTAACCCAGCCCGAGAGACACGCGAGTGTCTGTTGACTTAGAGTCCTCCTCTGTCCAATCCCAGTCACCCTTCAAGGCCCCAGCCCCCCCCCCCACCTCCTGCCATCCTGCTCCAGGGCCTCTGATTTCTGGCTCCTGGGGTGCTGTCTATTGGTGGTAAGGAAGGGGACAACCTGTTTCTGACACTCCGAGTATGATTTTCTCACAATCCAGCAGCCACATACCCAGGTTCAGGTCCCCTCCCCACCCATCCACATCAGGGCCTGGAGAGTCGCTGCCCCCCCAGGAGACAGAGCCAGGTAGCTGCTCTTTCGGGGAACATCATGGCTCACTTCCATGCTTCTGCGATACTGTTGCGGGGGGGGGCGGGAACACTCACCGGGAAGACAGGATGCCCCAGACGAAGGTCCCCATCAGTAACCCCATCATGTAGACGGACTGGCCCAGGGGCTTCAGGCCTTGGTCACTGCACACCAGGTCCCACTGGAACGGGAGGTGTGACCGTTGGAGCCATGGGGCTAGAGGGCAGGCTGAGATCCCCAGCTGTCCACCATGAGACCCCCTAGGCTTCTAGTGGCAGCTGGAGGCTAAGGGGTCTGGTGGCGGACCACAAGGACACAATACATGCGGTCGATAGTAAACAGAGATACAACCACACCACACACGTGCGTGAGGTTGAGACCAGCAGGCAAACACACAGGACAGTGCCCGCCACCCGAAAGGCGCCAGGTGGGTGTGGGTGAGGGATAATTTGTGCCCGTGTTACAAGCTGAAATGCTGATAGAATGGCTGGGACGCGTCGTGTGGCCCCCTCTGCCATCCCTCATCCCCAGCAAGGAATTACACAATGAACGATTCAAAACATTGGCTGGAGCTGGGCACCGGCGGCTCAACCTGTAATCCTAGCTACTCAGGAGGCTAAGATCTGAGGATCGTGGCTCACAGCCAGCCCAGGCAGGAAAGTCCGTAAGACTCTCATCTCCAGTGAACCACGGGAAAACCAGAAGTGGTGCTGTGGCTCAAGTGGTAGAGAGCTTGCTTTGAGCTCAATTGCTCAGGAACGGCGCCCAGGCCCAGAGTTCAAGGACCATGACCAACAAAACAAGCACCACAAAACATTGGCTGCTCTGTGTGCTTCCTGTACAACGCCCCCCCCCAACTTCTATCTCATCCCCAGCGGGGGCTCATCATTCCCCTCCACCCTGGAGAAAGTGGCAGTCTCATTAGGCCTGGTTTAAGCAAAAACCCCTGGTGGCTGAACCTTCCTTGCTTTCCATCCCTTGAGACTCCTCCGCTCCTGCTCCATGAGGTGCCTGGGCACCTCAGCCCGTGCAGTGGTCCCTGCGCCCACCTCCAGGGCCCTGAATGGACTCTTCTGCCTGTGATGTCCTTCGTGTCACCAGATTGCGTGTGTGTGTGTTTGGGTGGGTGGGTGGGAGTTATGCAAGACGTGAACACAGATACTGGGGCTTGAACTCAGGGCCTGGGTGCTGTCCCTCAGCATTGTGCTCAAGGCTAGCACTTACTGCTTGAGCCACAGCTCCACTCCTGGCTTTTGCTGATTAATTCAACCAAAGAGTCCTGCCCGGGTTGGCTTTGAACCGTGATCCTCAGATCTTAGCCTCCTGACTACCTAGGATCACAGGCATGAACCACAGGGACCTATAGGGATTATTTTTTAACAAGAATAAATGACACACCCCTTGTCACACGAGACCAGCGGGGGGAGAGGGGGCCTTACTGTGGTCACGATGGTGGAGGTGAAGGTGCTGTAATCGTAGACCCAGCCGTCCACGCATGGCTCTGTGGCAGCCTCGCTCCTGTTGGTGGCCGTGTTGTTGGGGTCCAGGAGCTGCCACTGGGGGTGTCGGAAGCGGCGGCAGCGATGGGGCTGCTGGTCAGGACCGAGGGGGATGGACACGGCCAGGAGGGCCTCCGGGGTGAGATTGGCGGGGATCTGGGAGCCATTGTCTAGCACGGAGGTCCAGCAGCGGTGGCTGGGGCTGACGGCCGAGAAGTTCTCCAGCAGCAGGTTTGGAGGGGTGAAGAGGGATGGGAGGAACAGTGTGGCCAACTGGAGCACCTGGAAGAGGCCCATGCCACCAGCACGCTCCAACAGCTCCTCAAACGCCATGTCCTGGCTGCCCCTGGCGCCCAGGGTGCAGGGCCTCGCCTGCCTGGAACCAGACCCCAGGCCTTGGCTGAGCCTCTCTCAGTGGCCACTGTCCCCACACCAGCAGGATGACAGTCCCCAGGTCCTCTGGAATGCTTTGATGTCTCTAGAAGACATCCCAGCATGCCCCCGGGGGGGGGGTATCAGGGACCATATCCAGCCATCCTCCAACCAAGACTGAGCAGGGTCCGGCCACCTTCTGGCTGCTCCAGCACCAAGAGGGTAAAGGTTTTTAAAAGATCACACCAGGGCCAGGCCGTTACTGAGTTACAGTGGTGCTGGAAAGAGTGTCCCGTTAACGCTTAACCTCAGTCAACGCACAGCACCTGCTCACCTCACACTTTGAACCTTCTGTGTGATCTGGTGTGATCAGGGCACCATCTAGGCCTAACCTAGAACCACCCTGGCTGAAGCCTCATCGGCTCGGTCAGGGCCTGTCTCCCTGGCCCTCCTCCTCCGGTGTGACCAGACCAGCCTGCAGACAGAAGCTATGTTTTTTTGTGTGTGTTTGGGGGAGGGCGCGGGGAGATGGTGCTGGGGTTTGAACTAAGGGCCTTGCTTTCACTTGGCGTGCTCTCTTGGCTGGTGCTTTACCACTTGAGTCACACCTCCAGTTGGACTTTTTTGCTGTTCACTGGAGGTAAGAATTCTCATGGACTTTTCTGCCCAGGCTAGCTTCAAACCACAATCCTCCCAATCTCAGCCTCCTGAGCAGCTAGGATTACAGGCATAAGCTATAGGCCCCTGTCGAGAAGTCTTCTATGCTAAGGCTGTGGACTGGAAGCTTCTTCCCGGTAGTCATGGAAACCATTTCATGGCAAGCTGGAACTCAATAACTGGGCAGAAGGGAAATGCCCACAGCCCGAGGCCAGCCCAGCTTCAGTAGTAGGCATGGGAGGGGTGACGCAGCCCTGCGTCTCAGCCTCTTGGTAACAATTCCTTCAGGCACCAAGGGCTACCTGCCTGATGGCATTTCTTCCTCATCGCTGATGGGAGAAATGGGGCCAATGCCCTCTAACAAGGAGATCAAGGCTCAGAGAGGGTAGACAACTTGCCAAGGTCACACAGCAAAGCTTCTGGATGGCTGCTGAATGGCCTTCCAGCCTGTCATGGAGGAAAAAAAAAAATCTCAGCTAAGAGCTGGATTTGAGGATGTGATCAGCAGGTGGGCCAGCCCCACGTCCCCTGCCAGGGTGTGGGAGAAAGGGGCAGCCCTTGACACTATCCTCCATCTCCAGTGTCACCACGACCAAGGTAGAAGAGCCGGGAGGGCGCCGGAACCCTGCACTGCCGAGAACCACCCCATCAGCCAAGATGGCAGCTCTCCAGGAAGCCAGGGAGCCGGGATCCTAGACCTGGGTTTCAGAGCCCGGGCTCCTTCCTGACTCTGCCTCTCTGGGCAGGAAGTCATTATGGATTTTAAAATAGCAAACAGAGACAGATGGGAGAGAGGCAGGCCAAGGAGAAGCTCAGGAAGCCGCGGGGCAGAGGCCCTCACTGTGCAGAGCCACAGCTAAACAGCCGAAGGCCGAATCTCAACCCTGTGTCAGCTCTGTCCTCACAGGGACTAGACACTGGGGGTAATTTATTTGATGTAGGGAGTACAGGGATTTGAACTCAGGACCTCATGCTTGCTAGGCAGAAACCTTGCCACCCGGGCCACCCCTCTAGCCCTGTTTTACTTTGGCTATTTTTTATTTTCTCTTGTCGGTCGTGGGGCTTGAACTCTGGGCCTGGACGCTGTCCCTCAGCTCTTCAGCTCAAGGCTAGTTTTCTACCACTTGAGCCACAGCACCACTTCGGGTTTTCTGGTGGTTTATTGGAGATAATAGTCTCACAGACTTTCCTTCCCCGGGCTGGCTTTGAAACGCGATCCTCAGATCTCAGCCTCCTGAGTAGCTAGGATTACAGGCGTGAGCCACCGGCGCCTGGCTACTTTGGTTATCTTTAAGGTTCCATATTGTGCCCAGGCAGGCTTCGATAGCAATCTTCCTACCTGTGCTTCCCCTGCAGCTAGGGTAAGCGCTATAAGTTACCACACCCAGCCGTGGCGTGAAATAGGGTCTCAAAAACTTTGATGACCCAGCTGGCCTCAGATCTCAGCCTCTCAAGTATTTAGGATGACAGGCTTGAGCCACCAGGCCCAGCAGTGGACGCCATCTTCTCCCCCCTTCCCTGACTCCGGAGTCTAGTCTGTAAAATTAAGTGGTGGTGTGTGGGTGTTTGCAAACCTTAGCATGGACCAGGAACTGCCGGCAGTGACCAATTGCACAGGGCTGCTGCCCTGGGACCCTGGTTCACCCCGAGAGTCTCTGGGCTTCTGGGGGCTGGAAACCCAGGCATCTAAGAAGGAATATGTTTTCTTTTCTCCTTCTGTCTTCTTTACAATTCATTTCTTCTTTCCTGCCCTTTGCCTGTCACGGACACACTCAGGCTTTGCCCAGAGTGGAAGGTCAAACCTCCCAGATTTGCCAGAAGGCGCCCGGAATCTCCAACTGATTTTCTGCTTCCAGGCCAAGGAATTTTTAATCTCCATTTTCTGGTTTTCTGGGACTGCTGGGGGCAGGGCTTGGTGCAGCTGCTCCGCCACCTGGTGGTCACACCCGGCACTGCGTCACTTCCCAGGCCCAGGCTCACCTGGGCCCAGGCTGTCCATTTCTAAAGATGGAGGGGAGGGGAAGTGGAGAACAGGAAGGGAGGGCTTGGGGAGCAGGGAGGGGGTCCGGGAGCATGGAGGGGAGCCTTGGGGAACATGGTGGCTGCCTCAGCTTTAGTCACTGAGGCCTCTGGGGCACCCCATTAAGAGTACATAAGGAGGAGCCATTACTCTGAGCCAGAATCACCACAGTAGTTGACTCTCAGCTAAAGATTCCCATCCAGTAAACAAACACTAGCCAAGGGTGACTCACGCTTGGAATCTCAGCTACTCAGGAGGCTGAGATCTGAGGATTAGGGTTCAAAGCCAGCCTAGGAAGGAAAGTCCATTGAGACTCTTATCTCCAATTAACCACCAAAAGAAAAGATGGAAGTAGAGCTGTGGCTCACAGTAGAGTGACAGCCTTGAGCTGACTCCGCACCAGGCCCTGAGTTGAAGCCACAGGACTGGCCTGTGCGGGTGCACAGACACAATGTAACCAAACATCAACTTATTTGATTATGATTCCATCTAAAGTCAAAAGATTCCTCTATATACCATCCACTCACCCAGAGGCAGAATGTAAGGCAATTCTTTGATAACACATCTCTTTATGGCTAGGAAAATATGTGAAATTTTAATGACTATAAATAATAAAACTTTGATTTAAAAAAGTTAAAACTTGGCCAGGCGCCGGTGGCTCGCGCCTGTCATCCCTAGCTACTCAGGAAGCTGAGATCTGAGGATCACGGCTCCAACCCAGCCTGGGCAGGAAACTTTGTGAGATTCTTTATCTCCAATAAACCACCAGAAAACCAGAAGTAGTGCTGTGGCTCAAGTGGCATAAGAGCACTTGCCTTGAGCTGAAGAGCTGAGGGACAGCGCCCAGGCCCAGAGTTCAAGCCCCACGACAGACAAAAAAAAAACCCACAAAACTATAGGAGTCAGGTTTGTTTCCAAAGACCTTAGAACTTCCTTCCTCTGAACTCCAGTGTCCTTATCTCTAGAATGGGAAGAGTAAGATGCACGAGATGGCTACCACTTGCTACCACTACCATCACCATCATCGCCATTATCATCACCATCAAACATGACCCCCCCCTTCCTTCTTTCCCGGTCACAGCGGGCTCTGCCAAGGTGCTCTTTCCTGGGCGCACACTGGCAGGGTGGGGTTGGCTCTCCCAGGGCTCAGATCCTGGCTCCTGTTCTGTGGCCTCACTTCCCTCTGTGCCTGAGTGACAATGACGCCCAAGGAGCCGCTGGGAAGTCAGGGCCGCGTCACCTTCCCATTACCTTCCAGTTCGGCAGAACGGTTCTCAGCCCCCGGGAGCAAGGGCAGGTCTGCCGGTTACATCAGCACTTCTGGGCTCCTCAGCAGGGGCAGGGGCCCAGTGCAAGTTCCTCCCAGCAGCAGCTAAGAAATCTGTGCCGTTTGTCTTACGAAAACTCCTTTCTGCAAGCCTCCAGAATTTATCCACATGCTGTGTGCATGTGCACGTGTGCACGTGCATGCGTGTGTGTATGCCACTACTGGGCCTCTCACTCTTGCTTAGTTTCTTTGCTCGAGGATAGTGCTCTACCACTGGAGCCACGCCTCTTCTTCTGACTTTTTTTTGTCGGTCGTGGGGCCTGAACTCTGGGCCTGGGCACTGTCCCTCAGCTCTTCAGCTCAAGGCTAGCGCTCTACCACTTGAGCCACAGCGCCATTTCCGGCTTTTTCTGCTTATGTGGTGCTGAGGAATCGAACCCAGGGCCTCATGCAAGGCAAGCGCTCTACCACTGAGCCACCTTCCCAGCCCCTCTTTGTCTATTTTTAAATCATTTATTGTTGTCTTTCCAATTTTTATAAGCTTTTGATAGGTTTGGGCGATGGACTGTGATACAAGTTGCAAATATTTTTTTTCTTTGGACTTTGATAGCATGTTGTTATTAACGGCGTGTTATTAATAGCATGTTTGATAGCATGTTGTTATTAATAGGTTGTTTGTTTGGTTGACTGAGATTTTTTGGCTATTGAATTATCAATATCTTCTTCTTGACTTTTGGATTTTGAAGCATAATTAGAAAGGTCTTCGTGGCTCCCTGGTGATAAAGGAGTTCTTTGATGGCTGTTTTTCTTTCATGGGTAATGGCTGTTGGATTTATCACCTGCTTTTCTGTCTCTATAGAGGTGACAGTATGCCTTTTCTTCCCGAGTGTATGAATGAGATGAATTATATTAATGGATTTCCTAATGTCAAGCCTTCCTTTCATTCCAGGATGGCGTTCACATCCCCGTGTTGTGTATAATTCCCTTCCTGTTCAGCGAGGTCCTGCGCGTCACCGTATCATTTCCAGGCTGTCATTAAACCTCACAGCTAAGATGGAGCTGGCGCTGCTCACGCCTCCTTCCTTTCTGGTCTGAGATGCAGGAGAGGCTCAGGGCCAGGGCGGGTCAGAGTGCAGCACGGAGTTCCAGGAGGCCGATGGTAACCGGTGCCCCCGCCTGCACATGGCTCCTAGATAGCTGGGCACAGCC